AAAACATTAGGATATAATTAAAAAGTAATTCCAATAGGACATGAAAATAATTATATGATCATGAAAAACACATTCAAGTAAGCCAAAAAATGCAATTGATACTGAGAGCTTGGGAGGAAAATACACATGTTGTAAAGTAAATGTATGGAAGTGCAGAAAATATCCCAGAAAGAGCACCCAGAAAGCCTCCCAGGGAAAACTTCAAGAATTCACGGGATTTCAGAGGCCAGAACAGATTTTTGGAGCCCCGATTTTCACAGAAATATTGTTGGCAAGACTGGCGGTAGACCCCATCCCAGAAGGGCACCATAGAGAGGATTTTGAAGGCTTCAGCCCTTCTTGCGTCGTTTTCGCCAAAGAAATCACAATGTCCCCGAAAAACAAAGAACAGAGACAGAAAACTGTGAAATGCTTGCTGGATGAGATAAAATCGGCAGCCGTCTTAAATGAGCAGCCTGCCCAAGAATCAAAGGATTTTTTTGCGGTCCTGTCAATGGCTCCCTTTTTTCGGAGGGGCGCGGGGTCCATAAAACCCTTGGTGGATAGAAATGCCAAATGTGGACGAGAATATCGGAGGACAATAACATAATTAACATAAATGTTGGTTAACAAAAGGAATAAACTAACTCAAAACATTTTAAAACAAAATTATTCATCACAGCATGCATCGCGCGATACACTTGAAAAAAACAAAAAACAAGAACAAATCGACGTCTCATTGAAAAAAATAATACGGTACCCACAATTGGAAAATACGAACTTAAGCACATGTTGGAAACCGTTGAAAAGCCCCGGAAGCAAACATTTTATGCTAACCAATAGTTCTTTCCTAGCACGTGAAACTTTTCTGGGCTGAAAGAAAAGATGAGCTTTCAGTTGAACGTTCCAACGTTTTTTTTTTTTTTCCGAGATGAAGCGGAAGGAAAAACGTTGAATAATCGTTCATGTCTGAAATGTTTCACTGCGTTTCATTTACATCAGCATTCTCCATCTTCCCCTCTTCTTGAAGAAAAAAAAGTAAATTTTTCATCCGTAAGAAAGTCAAGAAAAAAAAACATACACCCTTCGCATAAACAAGATTTTTCTCACCGTTGAAGCATAAAACGCGTTTTGCTGGGAACTTGAAAAAAAATTTTATGGATTTCGTTAAAAATTCCAAACATTTATTGTGGTAAACTCACCGCTCTGATTTACAGAAACATTTTGTGCATCTAATGTACCTGATCAAGATTCAAGAATGCGTACGCCTAACTTTTGAAAACGCATTCAGTACCACGTGTAATACAGTAAATGCATTTTAGTACACGTTCTCGCACTATTGGCAGCATTCGCGATTTTGAATCGACAAAAGGTCTTCACTCACGGTTCGATCATCAGCAATTATTATCTGCTGCTGAAAGTTGGTTCAAAAGTTTCAAATCTTTCCGAAAATTACGCGAAACTTCAGAAGACCCCAAGAAATTTCGTAAGACATGGACATTTCTTTCCATCAATCAATGGGTGATTTTTTTTTCGTTCCGTGTTTTGATTTTCTCGCGATATGCTTCACTTATCGTCTCCTGACAACACAACGATTTATTTCGATAAAAATAACCGCACGTGTTCGGTCGCGTAGAACAAACGGAAATAATGTAAAGAACTTACCTCTACACGGCTGAAGACAAGCTAATCCCAAAAGAGCTTTGTAATGTTCCAGGACAGATGACGCTACGAGCGCGTGTCTCATGGAAACTTCTCGTTCGTTCCGCGTCCGACATTTTTTCACTGTCGGAAAGTGAGTCTCGAGAACCCCGGATTTCCGCAACACTCGCTACACTTTGCACTCATTCACAAAGCACACGGTACGGGCAAAATAAAACGCGACACTAGTCACGGAAAAGATCTATAGGAATAAAATTGCGGACATTAGTCGTCATTGCTTCAGTTTCAAACGATCGCTGCAAACGAGAAATCATGCGGAAAATCAAGGTACTTTCAGGAACAGCGAGTTTTCAGCATCAACCCTCGGAAGAGAAACATGAAGTACGACGTCGACTACGTTCGCGACATCTACGCGTATAACGTCAGTCATCGAGCATAAAAATTACACTGTCAGAACATAATTGTTTACAAAGTTTATCAAGAACAAGATTTTGGCAACGAATCGCACCGGAGGTTCGTGGCAGACTGACGACCTTGAGCGACATTACATCACGTTTTGTACATCACGTTATTGGTCAGTCAGTACTGTAGTCGAACAGGTTTTCTCATTCGCGCGAGAACTTCCGGCCTCCTCGGCAACCTTCTGTGCGCTTTGTGCCCCCTATCGCGTAATCGTCGAAAGTATTTGCGGAACGTTTCTATTCAATGAGCATAGATGTCGCTGCTGTAATAGGCTGTCGTGTTCATGTTTCGTTCCAATTTCATTCATCACAGTGTACTGCAGTAATTGTGGATAGTGAATGAATTTCGATGGAATCTGAAGATTTATATTTCTCATTTATGCGTGTTCAACTTTCCAAATGTTATGAGCAGATCTTGGAAAACGAAATTTCCCCCCACTTCCAGTTAATATGTCTCAATGTTGAGAAAATTCAAATAGTGATTGATTCAGGCTTATATACTCGAGCATCGTGAGCACTTTTCACTTAACAATTTCAAGACGCCAAGAAGGTCACGCATTCAATCCTAATTTAATCCCGAAAAGTTCAATGGTTTCCTGATTTTGCTTCAAATAAATATTGTTGAGCATATCAGCGTGGATCACATGCTGCCCAGCAAAAAATTGGGCATTAGAAATTGTTTGGCCTGGGTGCACCCATTCACCAAGGCATTTGCTGACCCATTCATTTGGATTCATCCAAAAACCAAATGGCCAGCTGCTGGAGGCAGCCCAGACCCATTCCTGAACCCATTTATTGGGGCATTAGAATTGAAGCCAATCCTAACACCTTACTGAATGGGTTTACAAATGGGTCTGGGCTTTCTCCCAAATGATGTGCCTGATTTCCCACTGATTTCAATCTATATGAACGGCATGTATAAATACATATCAAATAAAATATATACTTTGAGAATATGTGTATGTAAAAAGCACGAAAAATTGAATTCATAGCATGGGATTTTGGGAATTTATGGGGTTCATTTTTTGTGTCATATAGTTTTACATGGCTAGTTTTTCATCTTCTTGCATTCTCAACTATAAGGCTTATATAGTTTTTATACATAAACTGGGCATCCCATGATGACATCAAGACAAAAATTACTGCCTTTTTGTCTTGATTTCATCATGGAATGCCCAGTTATGGATGCTTGGTCCATTATATTATTTACAGGGATAATAAATAACACATTGCTTCTTTTTTCACTGTGCCTGGAAATTGGACACCTCTCAAATTTTTCTGCTTGGCATACAGAAACTCTAATACCGTACTATAAAATTTTAGCTGATTCCTGGAACAATTATTGTGAAGGAAAATGATGGAAAGCATACAGATGGTATTTAATAAAAAAAAATAAAGGCAATTGCAACACAAGATGAACTGTGATTCGCAGCAGATATGCTAAAATGTGCATTTTTGTTGAAGTAATTTTCCATGTGTTTCTTGGTTCACTTTGTGCCCTTCAATATGCTGAAGAGGGTTCCACAAAAACTCCAAATGGGAAGAAATTTGAAGTGCTAGAGGATTAATGCTACTTCTATATGTGAGATATTCAAAAAGTTCTCTTGAGATTCAAATGCAATTTTAATGCAGGAAATGAAGAACACCATCTTTGTATTTCAGATCAAATGGCATATTTTTGCCCCCAAATCAACAAAACATCAACAAAACACTCAAACACTATACAAATACACGTGGCATGACAACAAAAAGCCAGAAGATAACATTCAGAATTTTGAAAAGTATTCAGGATTTGTTGATGGAATTGAAGTCAAGTCCCCACAGAACTCCATTTTCCATTGTAGCAGAAACTTGAGGGCAATTTTTGGCAGCAAGCACACCAAGTGCTTGAGGGGTTCCAACATCAATGCTTCTATCCACAGAAAGTTTACCCCAGTAATGTAACAAATAGCTCTGCTCAGCATTTTTGAGAATGCTTGCAGAAATGTTTTCATCAGGGTTGAACAATGTTTCCCAGGAAGGATATGACACTGGATAAAATGCATCTGTTGGAACATGAAACAGAAGTCTTGAAATTACAGTATGAACATGGGATCCAAAGGAGGGCCTTTTTAAGTACTGCACTTTGAGGAGAAAATAGATTCTCTCATGAAATGCCTTCAGGAAAATTTTAGTTATTACTCATTTCTTTTAATTACTGACTCATTAATGCTTTCTTTTTTACTCACTGATGTTCAAGACTTTGATGTTTTTACAGTCACCAGGTTTCACAGGATCTGTGATATTCCAGCCACAATAGGGGCGGATTATCCTTGTCAGCATACCTGGTCCATTGGAACCCCAGTTGTAAGGGTCATACCTGAAGGAAAATGGACCAGAGAATGTTAGCAGTCAAGGTACATCATTCTTCTTTCCAATTTGTTCCTGCTTTCATAGAATCTTTAGTCAAATGGTGCATCAGAATGAATTCATGAGAAAAGGGGAACATACAAAAATGGGCAAACTTTTTGGATTTTCATATCAGTACCTGGAAGAGTGCATAGTTTTGATCTTGAGTATGATGTTCTATTAATTGAAGCTTGAGAATATGCAAAAATTTAAAGACATTTTGAAAAACTGAGTTCACAGTCTTCACATGTCAACAATAATTGAAGTTCAAAACATATGAAAATTACATGAAGTCACTGGTATATATTTCTCCAAAAGTACAGCTGTGTTAATTTGCCTGGGCACACTTTTGAGCATAAAAATAAAACTACTGCATTGAACTCACTTTTCAGACAGTTCCTTCAAACAGGCTTCCATGAAGAGATGATGCTTCTCAAATGCAAGGACTGCATTGTTTATCACACCAGTTCCCTCCAGACCAACAGCATTCACCAATTCATCCATAGGTTTCATGACAACCACATCAGTGTCCAAATACAGTCCACCATACTTGAACATTGTGACATACCTCAGGATATCACTCATGTGAACAGTTTTATATGTGCTGTTTTCAAGCAAGTTTTTGGATAACCATGGCTGAAGAATGGTGCCATTCAGCCATTGGACAATGTCTATTGTGGTGAACATGATATTTGGGTACTTTTCTGACCAGGATTTGACAACTGAGGGCAACTGCAAAAACTTATTCTTCACTGCCACTACCACGGATCTGTTGGGGTGGTGTAGAGCTGCAGACTCAACTGCACAGAGCTGTTTGGGGCTCAACATGGGCAATCCTGATGTCTCCAGAAAATAAATCCCATTTTCAGGGATATCTGATGGATCAATTCTATTCATTGCCTGTTGTTCAGCATTCATAGATTGGCAAAATTCCACAATATTTTTCATTCCGCTGATGTAAAATCCAAACAGTACCACGTGTATCACTGCCAAAAATACAGTTGTACCAAAATACTTTTTCGGAATAAATCTTCGGCAAAAAGCAGTCATAATTTGCTTGCAAATTTGAAGATTCTTTTTATGGCCACGTGGATGCCAATTCTTCTTGTCCGGAATTGCGAAACTACTGAAAAGATAAAAAAGAATTGCGCATATCAAGAGTAAATACAGTACTTTGCCCCATTTCCACACAAAAATAAATAGCAGATCAAAACTAAAAAAATTAAAAGATCAATCTGCTATACTAATAAAAATGCGAAAAAATTTGCATTCATCACTAATACTTTTAAATTTAATCACCTCTCTTCCAAACATTAAAAGGGGTGATTATATATATCCTCCATAATTACAATTCAAGGAGTTGTGATCATTCCTTTAAGAATAAATTAACTAATGCACTTGATGATTGTTTATTTCTTGAGCAAAAAAAATCACGCGAAACTATTTTTTGAAATTTTAGAAAATGATGAGCGGAGTCTTTTGGATATGCGTAGCACAATTTTCCCTTTTTTCCTGGTAAATATTTCAAAATATATTGCAACTGATTTATTTTATTATAATTTCATGCATGCTGAACAGTTATGCAATGCATAATTCATTGTCCAAATATTAACTAACATACAGTATAAAAAAAGAACTGACATAAAACCTGGGCTGAATACATTTTCCCCAATGAATCGCACCATAATGAAAGTATCCACAAGTCAATTTTACAAACACACAAAAACTTTGAAATTTCTTTAAAAACTCGCCTAGTTCCTGCCTGCACTTGACATTTTTCTGGACTGAAGGGAAAACATGAGCTTTCAGCTCCACTGTTACAATAGGGATGTTTTGCTGCAGGGGGAATAAAAGAAAAAAAGTTACCAATGGCGAATGACATGATTCATTACCTTCCACTGATCTCAGCATTGTATTCCCTCTCTTGCTTGAAAGAAAGGAAATAAAAGGGAAGCAGTTTACTCAGCTGTAGGAAATAAGTCCAATGG